TGAAAGCAAGACAGATAACAGAGTTACTTTCGCATTTATAATATTAGTACAGATAGTCACGAACAATGCGTAATTTATTCCACTGTAATAAGGTTTAAAGTCCAATGATAATTTTTTTTACGTGATTTTACTACAGTGTACCTACCATGAGTTTACGTTAGGTGTGCTCGCTAGCGATTACGTCAAAAATCTCTATGAAGATTTTGTTTCTTGAAAGTAGCCGCTAGGGGCGCTGCACAATATGTCATACTAATTAATGTCATTTTTTTACGCAGTCTCTAGCGAGTACACCTAACGTAAACTCATGGTAAGCACACAGCTCTCTGCGGTACCTATACCACAACATTTGTATGGAAACCCGATCTCACAAGATCCTTACGCTCGAAGTGATTCCTGCATTTACGATCCATCCGGGCGGCAGTAAACTTCTCATAATACACCCGGGGAATCCCGGAATGTTGGCAAAACAAGAGAAATGACGTCATAAAGTTTGCGGAGATTCCAGGATGCACGTAACTTTGCTTTTTAATACATTGCTTTAAATGTTATTGTTGTACCGAATGGATATTGAATTGGGTGTTTACTTTTATTTGTATAATTGCTTAAATTATATCAATTTCGCTAATGTATTTCCTATTGCACAGTTAGGGGCTGAAACTTGCTGCTAGGTGATGATTTTCTGTAATACGTTCTTTGCAGGTAAGGAGGATAAATCAAGGAGCCTATCAAGTTGCACCTCATGGTGTTGTATAAGTGCTATTATTTTAAAATCTAAACTACAAACCTAATATCAGGTGAGATAGCGGTTAAAATCTGCCTATAGTTGACTGTAAAAGCTTTTAAATTCCTGAAACAAAATGTAGGTAAGTATCGTGTACCTAGTAGTGAACCATAATGGACATGAAATATTATCCATAGTTATCGTGAATTAATAATTTCTGATGCTTCATGCTGTTCAAAATGATCTGAATAAGCCATCGGTTCAGTTCGTATTAAAAACATTTCATATTTTTTTATTGGGTCACAAATCATCATCTCTTTAAGTATGGAGGTACGATCAAGCATTGAAAATGTAGTTACCTAAAATTTTATCTGTTGTAGCATTTACCAACTATAATAAAAACAAGTCTTTATGTTTTTACCTAATTTAAATATTTTGGGATCTGGTTTTAGTTTGCATTCGCATGGTGTCCCTATAGACACTCCATAAGCTCCCAATAGAGCAGCGTCAATATGTTTAATGCTTATGCAGCTATGTTCTAAAAGCTAAATCACTTTATACATATGGGCCCAAGTTCTGGAAAGTTTCGAACCCGACGGTCAAGGTGCTCCATCCATCTTGCGAGTTCGACGACTTTACTTTATGTAATTAGTTTGTGGGGGGGGAGGGGGATACATTACTCAGGTCTTCAGTGTCCATGCATTCGCTTTTGTGGCTCATTTTAAATGGAATTAAAAGATGTACTGATGAGATGAGATGTGATGCAGGCTATTCTTGGAACTAAATGAATTAAGCTTGTATTGTTAATGGAATGAATAAAGAGTTCAACTTGTGGAATTGTTTTTTCGAAATTTTACTGTACAAACATTTAACACCTACGCACAAGGCAAACTTACTTGACTTATTGGATTCTCTTTCAGTCAAAGGAAAACGGAAAATAACTCGAATAATATACTTGCTAGGTATAGATAAGATTTTCTCTACGAGACTTATGCCCGTTCGTTCATTTCAGCCAAATGACGTCCACTGCTGGACAAACGCCTCCCCAAGGTTTTCCACAATGAAATGACGTCACAAATATTACTATGAGAACTCACAGTGCTCGTGGACGCACAGGATCACACACGAACCAATCACAGAGCTCTATTCAACGATGTGCGTTCGATTTGCTGCTTCACTTAAGCAAGTATCGTTTGTGAATACGGGCGTTAACGGATGTACCTGATAATAACGTAAACCCCAAAAACAATCCTAATATGTTGCACAATAAAAACCCGAATTTTCTCTACAACGGCGAGTAAAGCTCCCACATCTAACTTCTCCTGGAACCTAAAATCGTTTTCCGACGCAAATTTCATTCCAAAACCGTGTTTAGCATATTTACAATGTATCCAAAAGCAGGAAAGCTTTTTATTTGATCACCTAGCCGTTCAAAATGTTTGGCTCGTTTGGACTTTTTATCTATGCTGTTGGAATTTTGCTGAACCAAATGTAAAATCTGGAATAAAATTAATATTTGAGTGGATTTTCACGTCCGGAGGTAATGCAACTAACTAATGTATAGCAGGAGACAATGATGTGTGAATTAATTTTGATAAAATGTATGCGTAGTTGGGAAATGTCTAAATAACTCATTATTATATCGTTCGTTTCAGCCAAATGACGTCCACTGCTGGACAAAGGCCTCCCCCAAGGTTTTCCACAATGACCGGTCCTGCGCTGCCCGCACCCAGGCTCTTCCCGCGACCTTTAACAGATCGTCGGTCCACCTAGTAGGAGGCCTGCCCACGCTACGTCTTCCAGCCCGTGGTCGCCACTCGAGAACTTTCCTGCCCCAACGGCCATCGTCTCTACGAGCTATGTGCCCCGCCCACTATCATTATTATATAGTCATTTTATTTTTGTAGGTAGGCTTTTCAAAAACGTCCCAGTATTAACCCTACCACTGCTTCGGGACATAAATGGGCCAGTGCTGAGAAGCGCTGTAGTCTATTAGGTTTGTTCGTTCATTCGTTTCAGCCAAATGACGTCCACTGTTGGACAAAGGCTTTCCAAAACCCACGGTCGGTCTTTTTTATACTAAGGTAATGAAAGTTAATCGCTCATTACGGAGATTGAAAAAGTGGAACATAGTCATTTGCATGTTGTATAACTTGTTTATTAGGTATCATAAATTCAAAAGTCTTTAAAGCTATAAAATTGTTCGGTAAAGCTATCAAAAAACTTTAAGTAAAATTGAAACTTTTAAAAAGATACACAATTTTATTCACCTGAAAGTTTTTGCAAGCCGCCGTGGCTTTGAAATTTAATCTTGCCTATTATCTAGATACGCAACACTGCAATATGTTTTCAGATATTAAAGTTTACGTCGCAGAAAGTTTATACTCGTAGCTCTACAATATTCTCATACGAATATACTGGTGTTTATAAACTTGCTTTAATATTGTTTTACATGTGCCTACATTTATCACAATAAACATATTTTGAATTTGAATTTGTATTATTTCTACGATTATACCTACATTTTGCATTGCATAATATAAACAGCTGTTGCTTTTTAACAAACTAGCTTTTGCCTGCGGCTTTACCCGCGTGAAATTTAGTTTGTTACAGATCGTCATAAATGTATGTTATTATGCTATATGTTTTTATGGGATATAAACAATAATACTGTAAAGTTTCAACAAAATCCGTTCGGTAGTTTTTGCGTGAAAGAGCAAAAGAGCGTTTCGCATTTATAATATTAGTAGGATAACGTAACAATTATAGAAATACACCGCAATTCGGATTAAAATCTATTTATTAATCCAAATTTAATAACGCACTCAGGCACTGCGGTAACAGTATATGTTATAAATGTAGACAACGACACATTAAATACTTAGATATAGTTACACTAAATGCTTTAGATATAGTTACACTAAATGCTATTATTGTATAATGTCAGCCAAGGACCTTCTATCAACGGGAGCGCGTGGTAAGTAACTTGCTTCTGAATGTATGTAACTTCCTACTTTTTTATATTTTTAAACCGGCAGACAGTGGTGACTGAGTTTGTTGCGGCGCTTCTTCTCAGCACTTGCCAAATGTTTGTCTCGAAGCGCTGGTAGGGCAAAAAAAGAATGAGACATGTATAGGCTCCTTAAGAGCATTTGACGATTTGCAAGAACTAATTTAATTAGTCTAAACAAATAAAGATAATTTTGATTTTGATTTTGACCTTTTTGGCACAGGACACTTAAATTTATTTTTAATTTTGATTTAATTATGTTAAGATTTATTTTTTTCTTTTCTGTATTTTTCTTCTATTGTGTACTAAATAAATGACATTCTATTTTATGCTTTAACTCTAATGGTCTAATCAAATCAAATTAATTATTAATATCAAATGTAAAAGGTCAAGTTTTTTGGTAATGTATTTTTTAACTTGCTCTATATCCTAAACCTTATTCTGTAATTTGAGGGAAGCCCGTGATTCTAGCGTGCTTATTAAAAGTTAGTATGAGTTTTTAAAACACAAACATGAATTAACCCGCTACCTGCTCGTAGCTATTAGAACCGCATTTTGAACTCTAATGAGATGAAATATGGTTAAAAACAAATGCACAATATTCTTATCTATGCTGGCTAAAGGGTTAAAACATGAGCTTAAAGTATAACCGTGGGAAAGAGCAAGCTAGTTTGCTGGCAAACAAAAGTCAGCTTTAATGAGTTGGCAATTGGCAATTACATGGATATGAACATCAAGGGGTTTCTCCAGAATATTATCTACACTTACAAGTTATTGAATAATAATATTATTATTATGTTCTTCGATGATTAATCAATATGACAGAGATCGACTATAAGAGAGATAGATTTTAGTGATTGGGACAATTAGGGTCTTATTCTACCCTCCTCTTCTTGTCGTATCATTATCTATATCATTTCAGCCACCACACATTTCACACACAGAACATGGAAAGAGGTTTCTATGTTCTGTAGGCCTCCCTCAATGATTTCTCTAGAAAAAACTCTTTTAAGTAGCATCGGTAGTTTTGTAACATGATGTAACTTTTTGACCACCAAGAAAACAGACATGACACATAAAAGAGAAAAATACCAAATCGAAACGGCACAATAATGGTGATCTTCTTGCTAGGAAGCGATCTTTTCCAGACAACCCAGACAAAACAAATATTTACGATTTTGGCCTACGTTGACGGATTGAAACGATATTTTGTGGATTGCATGGTGCTAAGGCAAGGTAGAATTGAGATGTGGATAAGTAGTAACTTACCTAAAAACAACACTAGTCTCCTCAGCATCTATGTGCAGCGAGTCCGTCAGGGCCCACTGTAGCAGCACGCTCCTGCTGGCCAGCGGCCCGCTGACCACGCGCGCTGGCAGGAACCGCCTCCTCCCGGGCCCGCGTCTTCTTCGCGACCCCACCGACCTGTTAATAGAAGAAAGTGGAATTTAGAATATAGTCGTAGGCTTCAATGTATCCTAAGTTTTACATTCTTATAAGTGGAGGCCACGTATCGGAAAGCGCAGCGTGACACGTCCACTACGTCCATCCACAAGGTGCACCCGCGAGATAGCAGCTAGGAAGGCCCTGGATGCAGGCAGCTACCAAACGGTCAATATGGTGCCTATCATACTATTGAACTTGGCTTTCATCGTGTAGAATTGAATAATTGGTAACGGCCTGTATCCAGAGCCTTCCTGCTACTTTTATGAGTTAGCCTGTCTCCCTTTGGATTTCTAGATTGGCCGGTTGGTAGCTACCTACCATCCAGCAGCGCCTTCCTGCTACTATCTGTCCACTTTGTGGGTGGACGTCCTACGCTGTACTTGGCGGCATGTGGTCTCCACTTCAGAACCTTGCTGCCCCATTGGCCGTTACATGTAACCTTGTCAGTGTGTTCTAACATAATAGTTTATTGAGCATACCTTGACCCTCGGCCCCTCCTGTACCGGGCTCGGAAGTAGTACCCGCTCGGGCGGAACTCCTCGAGCCAGTAGTGGGCGCGGTCGGAGCGCGGCACGAAGTAGGGCTGGTCGTAGCACGGCCGCTCCTCGGTGGAGGTCGGCGTGAAGTTGCCTCGGACGAACCGGCTGACGGTGGTGTGCAGCGAACGGTCTTGGAGGACGTTGAATGCTGAACATACGCCTCCCCTAATGATTTTTAGGTTAGCCGGTTGGTTACTGCCTGTATCCAGCACCTTTTCTGCTACTTTTATGAGGTCGTCTGACGCTGCGCTTGCCAGCATGTGGCCTCCATTGCAGAAACCCGTTGACGGTGATGATCTTGGAGCACGTCCACTGCTGGACTTAGACCTCTTACAATGATTACCAGATTTACTGATTGGTAACGACCTGCATCCAGCGTCTTCCTTCTACTTTTATGAGGTTGAATGTTTTCCCATTGAATTCTAGATAGGCCGGTTGATAACGGCCTGCATCCAGCGCCTTTCTGCTACTTTTATGAGGTCGTGTGTCTCCTCATTGATTTCTAGAGTGTTCGGTTGGTAACTGCCTGTATCCAGCGCCTTCCTGCTACTTTTATGAGGTTATCTGTCTCCCCCATTGATTTTAAGAATAGCCGGTTGATAGCGGCCTGCATCCAGCGCCTTCATGCTACCTTTATGAGGTCGTCTGTCCACCTAGTGGGTGGATGTCCTAACCTGTGTTTGCCGATATGTGACCTCCACTCCAGAACTGCTCCATCAGCCGTTACGTGCTACGTGTGTTGTAAGATTATGGATAATTTAGCATACCTTGACCCTCGGCCCCTCCTGTACCGGGCTCGGAAGTAGTACCCGCTCGGGCGGAACTCCTCGAGCCAGTAGTGGGCGCGGTCGGAGCGCGGCACGAAGTAGGGCTGGTCGTAGCACGGCCGCTCCTCGATGGAGCTCGGCGTGAAGTTGCCGCGGACGAACCCGCTGACGGTGGTGTGCAGCGAGTAGTCTTGGAGGACGTTGAATGCTAAACATTAGCCTCCCCCAATGATTTCTACTAGAGTGGCCTGGTGGTAGCGGCCTGCATCCAGCGTCTATGTTTACATAGGCTTCCGTTATGGATTCCTAGATTGGCCGGTTGCTAATGGCCTGTATCCAGCGCCCTTCTGCTACTTTTATAAGGTCGTCTGTCTCTCCATTGATTTCTAGATTGGCCGCTTGGTAACTGCTTGTATCCAGCGCCTTCTTGCTACTTTTATGAGGTAGTCTGTCTCCCTATGGATTTCTAGATAGGCCGGTTGGTAACTGCCTGAATCCAGTGCCTTCCTTTTCTTTATGAGGTAGTGTGTTCACCTTATCCTATGCTGCACTTGCTAGTATGTGTCTTCCACTCCAGAAACTCGCTGCTTCATCGGCCGTTACGTGTAACGGTTACCAGATTGACTGATTGGTAACGACCTGCATCCAGCGTCTTCCTGCTACTTTTATGAGGTTGTCTGTTTCTTCTAATGATTTCCAGACTGACCAGTTGGTAGGGGCCTGCATCCAGCGCCTTCCTGCTACTTTTATGAGGTCATGTGTCTCCTCATTGATTTCTAGATTGTCCGGTTGCTAACGGCCAGCATCCAGCGCCCTCCTGCTACCTTTATGAGGTCATCTGTCCACCTTGTCCTACGCTGCGCTTGCCAGTATGTGGCCTCCACTCCAGAACCTTGCTGCCCCATTGGCTGTTACACGTAACCTTGTCACTGTGTTCTAACATTATAGACGCAATAGATTATTGAGCATACCTTGACCCTCGGCCCCTCCTGTACCGGGCTCGGAAGTAGTACCCGCTCGGGTGGAACTCCTCGAGCCAGTAGTGGGCGCGGTCGGAGCGCGGCACGAAGTAGGGCTGGTCGTAGCACGGCCGCTCCTCGATGGAGGTCGGCGTGAAGTTGCCGCGGACGAACCCGCTGACGGTGGTGTGGAGCGAACGGTCTTGGAGGACGTTGAATGCTGAACATAAGCCACCCCCAATGATTTCTACTGGAGTGGCCTGTTGGTAGCGGCCTGCATCCAGCGCCTATGTTCACATAGGCTTCCCTTATTGATTCCTAGATTGGTAGGTAGGTAACGGTCTGAATCCAGCGTCTTCCTGCTACTTTTATAAAGTAGTCTGTCTCCCTATGGATTTATAGATTGGCCGGTTGGTAGCTACCTACCATCCAGCAGCGCCTTCCTGTTCCTATCTGTCCACTTTGTGGGTGGATGTCCAACGCTGAGCTTGCTAGTATGTGGCCTCCACTCCATACCTTGTGGCCCCTACTCTAGAAACTCGCTGCTTCATCAGCCGTTACGTGTTACGTGTGTTGTTTAATATTATTGATAATGGGGATGTTGCCTGGGTCAAAAAGCAAGAGTTTTAATTAGTCCGTCAGTTAACTTATAAAAAAATACTTTACACGTATTTTTCACTTTTTCAAACTAATGAAAATTTAAAGAGATATAGCGCCCCAAAGTTCATAAGAAGAGGCCCGTGACGTCAACGCTTGCTTAAAAATGCCGCACGTTGTGACGTCGTGCGCAACTTCAACGCACCATAACTATGTAATTATTTGTTAGATTGACAAATAAAATTATATGTGTCCAATATTTTTTGATATTAAACATTACGGACTAAAAAAATTTTTTTAGGCAACTAGCCTATTATTGAGCATACCTTGACCCTCGGCCCCTCCTGTACCGGGCTCGGAAGTAGTACCCGCTCGGGCGGAACTCCTCGAGCCAGTAGTGGGCGCGGTCGGAGCGCGGCACGAAGTAGGGCTGGTCGTAGCACGGCCGCTCCTCGATGGAGGTCGGCGTGAAGTTGCCGCGGACGAACCCGCTGACGGTGGTGGTCTTGGAGCACGTCCACTGCTAGACATAGGCCTTTTACAATGATTGCCAGATTTACTGATTGGTAACGACCTGCATCCAGCGTCTTCCTTCTACTTTTTTGAGGTTATCTGTCTCCCCCATTGATTTTTAGATTAGCCGGTTGGTAGCGACTTGAATCCAGCGCCTTTCTGCTACTTTTATGAGGTCGTGTGTCTCCTCATTGATTTCTAGAGTGTTCGGTTGATAACGGCCTGCATCCAGCGTCTTCCTGCTACTTTATAAGGTTGTTTGTCTCCCCTAATGATTTTTAGAGACTGGCCAGTTGGTAGGGGCCTGCATCCAGCAGCGCCTTCCTGTTCCTATCTGTCCACTTTGTGGGTGGATGTCCTACGCTGAGCTTGCTAGTATGTGGCCTCCACTCCAGACCTTGTGGCCCCTACTCTTTCTAGAGTCTCGCTGCTTCATCAGCCGTTACATGTTACGTGTGTTGTTTAATATTATTGATAATTATTGAGCATACCTTGACCCTCGGCCCCTCCTGTACCGGGCTCGGAAGTAGTACCCGCTCGGGCGGAACTCCTCGAGCCAGTAGTGGGCGCGGTCGGAGCGCGGCACGAAGTAGGGCTGGTCGTAGCACGGCCGCTCCTCGATGGAGGTCGGCGTGAAGTTGCCGCGGACGAACCCGCTGACGGTGGTGTTGAACAAGTAGGAAGACGGTAGATGTCTTCTGCTGATTATAAGCCTCACCTAGTGATTTACAGATTGGTGGGTAGGTAACGGCCTGAATCCAGCACCTACCTTCTACTTTTATGAGGTTGTATGTTTTCCCATTGATTTCTAGATAGGCCGGTTGGTAACTGCCTGAATCCAGTGCCTTCCTTTTCTTTATGAGGTAGTGTGTCCACCTTATCCTATGCTGCACTTGCCAGTATGTGGCTTCCACTCCAGAAACTCGCTGCTTCATCGGCCGTTACGTGTAACGGTTACCAGATTGACTGATTGGTAACGACCTGCATCCAGCGTCTTCCCGCTACTTTATAAGGTTGTTTGTCTCCCCTAATGATTTTTAGAGACTGGCCAGTTGGTAGGGGCCTGCATCCAGCAGCGCCTTCCTGCTACTATCTGTCTACTTTGTGGGTGGACGTCCTACGCTGAGCTTGCTAGTATGTGGCCTCCATTCCAGAATCTTCTGCCCCATCAGCTGTTACGTGTGTGTTGTAAGATTATGGATGATTGAGCATACCTCGACCCTCGGCCCCTCCTGTACCGGGCTCGGAAGTAGTACCCGCTCGGGCGGAACTCCTCGAGCCAGTAGTGGGCGCGGTCGGAGCGCGGCACGAAGTAGGGCTGGTCGTAGCACGGCCGCTCCTCGATGGAGGTCGGCGTAAAGTTGCCGCGGACGAACCCGCTGACGGTGGTGTGCAGCGAGTAGTCCCGGAGGAGGATGTCCTCGGATTGAAGATGGACTGGAAAGAGAGAGAAGTTTTTTAATGATTTTGGTTGTTTCTGAACCTTATTTCTTACAATGCATGCTATAATGGCTTGTTTTTAGAACAAACGTAGTTAAACATTACTATGACGTCTCTCAGTGCGCTTGGACGCACAGGGTCACACACAAACCAATCACAGAGCTCTGTTCAACGCTGTGCGTTCGATTTGCTGCCTTACTTAAGCAAGCATCGCTTGTGAATACAGGTGTTATTTCTTACTATGCATGCTATGGGAGTTGACCCCATCAAACTCCAAGCGGTCGCATATGACCGCGCAACAATTGATACATTTTGTATCTTGATTCGCGTGGCTCTTTCGTCGTTTTATTACTATAATATATGGGATAATAATACATCGTGTTGATTACCCAATAAATAAACTAATAATTGGTACTAAAAAATCTCATTAGAAAGAAAGAAAAACAGGCTATTATTTCGACTATTTTAATATTTAAGGCTGAAGCAAAATTCAATTAAATTATTTATTTATTTGTTGAGGTTGGTTAAAACCAAGTATAAAAAAAATCTAACAAGAATCCCGCTTCAAATCTCCATAAGACGACCCACTCTCAAGCTCTCGTAAAGTATCAATAAAACAGTGCTCTAACTTTCCCTAAGCGCACTTCCCACGAATCTGTCCTTTACTTATCTCTTTACAATCAACAAAGAATGCCGATCAGGCGAGCGATACGGCGTTTGTCGCGAAGGACCCGGGGACGCCCCGAATGCCCGGCGAAGGCCCCATTTCCGACGCCCAATCGGGTGCAAACGAGACGAATGTAGTACGAGACGATACGAGGAGCGGCGTTTACAGGGTACGGAATGACGTCGATTTTGCTGAGGATTTCTTAATAGGAGAGAAGATCTTAACAAAACATTTTCGGTATAGCAAAACCACCTCAATTTTGAAAGGAAGCCATTGCCATTATTTTAGTCATCTATATATATAAAAATGAAACCCGTTTCGCGTTGTCACGGCATCACGTGTGAACGGCTGAACCGATTTCGATAATTCTTTTTTTTTAATGTTTGTGGAAGTCCAAGGATGGTTCTTACGGAAAAAAATATTAAGAAAATCTCTACGCTAAGGCGGTACGAAGTTCGCCGGGTCAGCTAGTTGGAAGATAAAATTCTTTATTTTAGGAGTAATATCCAAGTGAATTTCAGCAGCTTTAAATAATAGTTCAGAACCTTAAAACATAATAGGTACCTAATAGAGTTATAAATTATTTAAGCACATTGTAACAATTTTGAGGTAAGGTAAAGTTTCACAAGTTCTCGTTGGCGACTACACGCTAACTATAGGTAGGTTCTACGAGTATAATTTATTGTTTGAACAAAATATAGTAAATCACTAGAAAAAGATTGATGAGAATATCGAGAAACTAACGCCCTTATTCACAAACGATGCTTGCTGATGTGAAGCAGCAAATTGACCGCATACCGTTGAATAGAGCTCTGTGATTAGTTCGTGTGTCGCCCTGTGCCTCAATAACAGTAATTTCAGTCCAATATTTATTCAAAACCGACACAATCGTACAATGTGAATGCCCCGTAAAAATCCGCTGAAGGAATCGGGGCGCTTTTACTGATGACATGTCACCATTGTGGTCTGATTCCGTGAAAAATTGCCTACCAGAAATAGGATTGTGATATTGGCCCAATTTATGTATGAGGAATTGTGGCTTTGGGAAGATTTATTTATACATTAGTATTCAGTAGGTACGCAGTTATACTCGTAAATAGAATTATGTATAATTTTCCCGATCGATTGGGTTTGAAAGTAAATAGTATACGTAAGTTTTAAGTTATAGGTATGAACATATTTCCGCATTGAGTAAGATGTGTATGGGGCATTTAGTGGGCCTTATGCGGGGCGTTCTTCAAATTTCGACATTTGTATGAAAAAAGTATGCGGGATGCACGTTCTTAGGATTATAAGTATGTCCGAGCTCTCATTGCAATGTCTCATAAGATGTGAAACTTATAACAATTTTGTGATGACGATTTAATAATACTTGTTAATATTTGTAATATTGTTAGAGCTTTATAAAAGCAACATTGTCAAGACTAATTACTTGCTAGGACTTTACCTAATTACTCAATAAAAACTCAATAAAACTCATTTATTTCTGTAAGTAGGCTTTAACAAAGCACTTTTACACGTCCCAGTATTAACCCTACCACTGCTTCAGGACAATAAATGGGCCAGTGCTGAGAAGAAGCAGCGCAAGAAACTCAGACACTATTGTCAGCCTCTTTTTCAAAGGTTTACAGGTTTTCAAAATACATAGTTATAAATATTTATGCGAGCTAGGCAGTTACGCATCCCAAACATTTTTATCTTTTAAATAATCATCGACTTTATAGTAGCCCTTTTTCATTAAGGTACTTTTAATATGTGCTTTGAATTTATGAATACCCATTCATAAATTCAAAGTTTCTACAACAGTTTGTGGTAATTTATTAAATTATTTAATACATTTCCCCATAAATGAATTCCCAATCTTATGCAGTCTGAAATTTGGAACGGCAAGTTTATTTTTGTTTATTAAACAGACATTACAAAGTAGGTACACGAGCGGGTAAATGCTAGTTGCAAAGTATAAAGACTACCACTTGTGCTACTACGCTGCCATCTATATTTATTACAAAACTTTCAGTCAGTTGTTACAAATTTGATAAACACAGTGCGCTTCGTGGGCGTGGATAGTGAGATATTGTTACAATTTGTCACACAAATGAACCCTGTAACCTACTGCGTCACATGGCGCCAATTTGTTTCCACGTATTGCCACTTAGGGTTTTATACACTGGAAGAGTTGATAAAGCTGTGTATTGGGTTCAATGGAGTGGAATCTATCAACCATAGTAAGTGAAGTGTAGTACTCACATTTTTTAAAACAAAATATTATCCTATCCTACTTATTTTCTATTTTAACATGATAAATCTGAAAATTTATGAGGATGGATGGATGTTTGTTAGTCTGTCACTCTCATGTACATCTACTGAACAGATTTTGATAAAACTTTACAATATTAATATAAGCTATAATGTATAATGGTATTCAGTTAAGTAGCCAAATTACAATGATAGGTGCCATGTAAGTCGATCTTTTTGGGACAAACTGAATTACATGCGGGTGAAGCCACGGCCAATAGCTGTTAATAATATTTCTATTAACCCTTTGGATTAGTGAAATATAAGCTTACTGGTACCTATTCCAGGGTCTTATGAACATAGTCTCTATCTAAGATCAAATTGTTACTAACCAAACTATGGACTGCTTTTTTCTGAAAATAAATAATTTTTATTTTTATTTTTTTATTTATTTATTTTATATGGGTACTCACACAAATAGGTACGTAATTAATGTAGGTACATAGCTATCTTTGTCTAGAGACATAATCTTTAAATCATATTTTAGTTTCTTTATTTTGTCATCATAGTATCTTTATATCTATAGCTTAGCATTTAATAGTGGGAATAAAGCTTTCACCTTTAATTTATAATTTATTATGAGAGCGCCATGTCCTTAATTAGGAACAATAACAAACAACCATTTGTAACCAGGAACCGGCGCAGAAGACCTTTCATTACTCTCTCAAGAAACCATTTTGTAAGCATTTCTTCCCATTGTTTTTATATGAAAAGCTTGGAAAAATTGAAAGCCCACTGTCCGACTTAAATACAGGTGTTTCAGAATGAATGTTAATTGTTTTTTTTTCTAAGCCATTCTGTATTAAAGAAAAAATATTTTTTCATGACTTAAAATAACAAAATGGAGATTTTTATCGCTACTTCCTTCAAGGTGCAAATCAGTTGTAGTCAATACCTATTCTGTAATGAAGAAAAATAGTTTTTCATTCAACGTATTAACAAGGGCGGGCACTAACAAAAGTCGAGATTTTGGATTGCTACTTTCCTAATGAAGATAAAAATTAGTCGTAGCCCATATTATAAATGCGAAAGTTTGTCTGTCTTTATGCTTGAACCGCTGAAGCGATTTCTATGAATTTCAGAATAGAGATAGTCTGAGTCCCGGGATAGAATAGGATCGATTTTATCCCAGTTTTTTTAAAACAGGGACACGCACGATTATTTAATTTTATTTATACTTTTGCAAATAAAACTATACAACGGCGGGCTTAATGCCAGGTGGCATTCTCTGCCAGTTAACCACATGTCAAGTAGAGTGACTAAGGCGGTGCAATAAATATGATTATTATTATGTTTTTCTGTGGCAGGCTGACATTTACACGAGCGGAGCTACGGGCAAAAGCTAGTACAGTCAGCGCCAAATAGTTCGGGACACCGAAAGTAGCCAATAAGTTCGCAACACGTCGTTGTTACAATAGGTTAGAATTAGAAAATATTAGACTCATGTTTTTATATTCTTTTATAATTAAATAATAACAGTGCTACATTGAGTTGAAATGGCGCGTTACGTCACGCTTGAGTAGAATTTTTACTCAAAAGTGACGTCACGCGACATTTCAACTGTACTTAATTATTCGAGTATGAAAAAATTCAAAAAATATGTATCAATTTTTTTTTATTATCTATCTAACGGACTAAATAGAATTTCGATTTCATTACCCAGTCATCATCCCTATTGGAATAAGGTTGCGTTGTCAATTAACTGTTTGGCTACTTTGGGTGTGACGAACTATTTGAGGCTGACTGTACCAAATAATACGCACCAAAATAACTATACTGAATCAACTTTTACCCACAATGGATTGTACATGTTTGCACTTAGGGTGGGAGGTTGTTTGTTTGTTTGTAAACAACAAGCATGTTTATATTTATCACCAAACCTTTTTTGTTAAGGGTTTGTGATTTTTAGGCGATGGTTCTTAAATAAAAGTAGGTTTAAATGTCTTTTATTCGTAACTGGATTTTAACATTTGAAATAGTAACTTCACAACCGATTAAAATTCAAATGCTCGGGACTAGGTATGCTGAGAGCCCTTTTGAGGGCACTTAAACACGTTCAATAGCTTGCCCTACTACCACTTCAGGATTCGAACCATATAT